GTGATGAAACAAAGACCATGAAGACAGATATTTTGTTACCACTAGGAGTGGTTTATAAAGAGAGGGTGGAAACCTCCATATTCCAGGTACAAACTGTGTTTACATTTCAGCTCTGCTGTTTCACCAAGGCAAAACACATAGATACATATCAATGGACCAGATTATTTTAAGTCAGACTCAAGTTCATCCTTCTACTATCCTGCCCAACTGAATACTACTTACCATGTTCCTCATCATTAACTGTCATGCCTGTGCTGGCACCAAGTTGCTGCCTTTTCCATAGTCCACATTTAATTTATAAGCATCTCTGGACAGAGCTCTACGTTTTATGCTTTATCATATTTCTCATCGTTAACTGTCATGCCTGTGTTGGCACCATGTTGCTGCCTTTTCCATAGTCCACATTTAATTTATAAGCATCTCTGGACAGAGGTCTGCGTTTTATGCTCCTTAGTGCACTGCACACCACAACCAGATGATGCTCCGAACATTGTCAACCTGGATGCCCAGTCAGGACAGCTGGTGGTGAAGGCTTCTGGGAATTGCAGTCCAAAACTCCTGAGTAACCCAAGGTTAAGAACCAGTGCCTTAGTGCACTGCACACCACAACCAGGTGATGCTCCTAACATTGTCAACCTGGACATCAGGGAAGCAAATCATGTCCCATTTCCCTTTTTTAAAAAAACACTTCTCTTTCAGTACACCTGACCACAGGCTGAGAGCTTACTGAAAGCCCAGTAAAGAGGGAAATAGGAAGAAGGCATAGACGAGACCAAAAAAAAGTGATGGAAGTAGATTTTTTTACCAATCAACCACAACCTTGATGCCATGTACAAGTATTTGCCATGTTATCTCCTCCTCTTACGACCAAGAAAGATCACGTTAAAAAATATAAAAGTTAGTCTTTAAAGTGACACCACGTTTTTTTGTCTTCTTCTCTTTTTACTTTTATTTTCGCCTATAATGACGGACGCGAGCCTTCACGAAGCCCAGCCGCCGTTCAGAGAGCCCTTCCCACTCACCACAGCGCGTCACCAGAAAAGGGCTGCCATATATATAAAAAGCTAATGACCAGGAGTCTCAGGGCTGGACGTGAAATCTCAAGGCTTTCTCGGCTCCTTCACAGGCGGGAACCCTCCCGGGTCCCTTCCTCCCAAACCTTCAGCGTTTTCGCTCCCCAGGTTCATGAGGACCTTCTTCCCTCAACCAGCTGACGGCCAACCACCACCACTACCACCACCACCCCCAGGGCCCTGCAGGACCCACCCCTCACAGGAAGACCGTCCTCTCTCCCTCCAGGGACAGGCCAAGGTTTGAGCCTCAGGAGACCCACCAGCCGCTCTCAGGAGCCACCCCCTCATTTTTTGGGGGGGAAGGGGGTGTCAGCCGCGGCGTTGTAAACATTCCCTGCCCTTCTCCTTTCCCGACTGCGTTTGCATA